ACAATAGATGAAATTTATTAACAGAAATATGTAACCCTCGTAAGCAGCGTGTACTGCTGCAGTGCAATTTCATTACAATGTAGCTCAGAAAATGTAGAAATTATTCTACAACGAGATATCTCTACAACATGAAATAGAAAGTTTGGAAATTTTCCTGCAAAACAGTACTTCTGCAATTAATTTGCAATACTATATATGTACTGATAATTCATCAATATTTAATTACTTAACAGAAATCGTAAAAGCTCCACTTATCGAGAAGCTTATAAAAATTTATGAATCTTTAACAGACTTTTAAATTCTAAGAGTGTAAATGCTGACATCAGTGTAAATGTAGCAATATAATATGATATAAATTTTCAGAATTAAAAATTTTAATTATCAATTTTATTCTTCTTTTAATTATTGCAATTTATTAAATTAGTAATGTAATTAACTAATAACTCCAACAGCGATTTAACGCGTTAAAAAGGGTGTAATAACTGTTTAATTTCGGCAGAGATTAAATTTTTCAAAATTTTATACATATTAATCGACGTAGCCAGCAGTTTCGTACGAATTTTAATATTTAGTGCATTTACGTATACCATTAATTTTTCCCGTTGCAAAATCAGTAAATTCGCTACGAGAGGAAAAGGAGAGACAGAAGAGGAAAAAAGAGAGAGCAGGATTACATTTTCCATTAGCGGTCGAGGCGAGCTTTCTTCGGACTTGTCGCGTTGGCACTCGTGCTGATTATCAACCTGTTCTGGACAGGAGCTTTTTTTCCCCTCGTTTTACCTCATTTCCCATTCCTTTATACGACGAATCACGTGCACGTAATAATAAAGCAGCAAGCCTGCGCGACATCTCGCTAATGTACACTGTCTCTCCTTTTTTCTTTCTTTTTTCATTTTCAATTTACTATCGAAGAGTAATTTTGTAGAGCTGGCGATTTATGGTATCCGCGATAACACTAGGTGACACCTAGCTAAGAAACAGAGTGTAATTTCATACTGTTTTCCAGTTAATTACTGTATCAATATTCTTTAATAAACACATTTAATACACTTCTACTTGGCTAAAGTTTATGTTGCAAATATTATTTTTTTACTAAATTCACAAACAGAAGGTGTATGAGAAACATCTGAAATATCACTTTAAAATATTTGAACAAGACAGAGTCTGAAAATTTTACTACTTGAAATGAACCAAAACAATACAAAATAATAAAATACATTAATCTCCCCTATTTAATCTTTGCAATTTCTGAAAATCGACAGTAAAATAAGACAGAAGATAAGGAAGTTATTCAACAGGAATTAACGAAACAATAGCTGGAGAAGTAAAATTGAAGTTGAGATTCAGCCGGTAGCAATATGTGAAAGCATCCTTCACCGTAGTACCGTGTACGTTGTAAGATAAAACAACTGCCGTCGTAATAAATTAATGCTCGTGTTTTTTTAAATTACACTATCATTCATCCACCATCAGAAATTCTCGTATTTCAGCAAAGTTTGCACGAACTGTACGTTGATGAAAGCCATAGATTCGCAAGTTCATTTCCTCGCGTGATACGCTGCCACGAGTTCGCTCTCATCTCTCTTCCAGCCTTTCACGGAATTTCCTTCGTCCTGCGAAAGGATACACGGAAATCGTTAGTGAAATACCGAATGTTTACGAGTGGGAATAAACTTGATCCGAGGTAGCTAGCTTGAGCCAGGCAATTAAAGATAGAGGCACGCGGACCAGCCGCGAAGAAAACAGCAAGTTGATTTTAATCGGAGAACACGTGGTCATGATTTCTCTTCAAGCTGTTTCCCTTTGTTCCACGAACTCGCCGACCAGACATTGTAGCAGATAATTCTCATAAGTTTCGCCGAAAATTGTTTGTTCGCCACCTTCTTCTTCAGAACGTCGCGTCTTATCTCCAGTTTCTTCAAACTTCGACGTTGTTTTGCAAACTGTACAATCCGCGATATCGTCAAGCTAATTTAAATATTCGTCAGGAAGCCGAGAAAGGAAGAGACGAGCAAATGACGACTGAAACTGAATATTTCAGTCGAATCCACGTTTCGAACCCCCCCATTTGTGGAACGCTGAATAACAAGGCTACGTCGTGGAGCACAAAGAGGAAGAAAATGATGCTTCGTTCGTTGTTTTTAATGAGATACCGGAGAAATTATTATTTCCTGTTTGTTTCTGCTGTTTGGAAATTTCGATGGAATCTTTAGCTTTTTTTTTTAAAGAGAAAGGAGACCGAGGGTTCCACACTAAGTTTGAATTTCTAAAGTTTTCCGGCTTTGATTACATTCGTAAATGTCTCAATTTGCGAATGTGAAAAGTTCCCTTAGGGAATGCTCTCTCGGTGCATTTACAGACGCAATATCAAAAAATCTGCAGTTATGAAATAACGATAGAACGAGGAGGGAATGTTTCAACGTGATTGAAATATTTGTTTCCAATTTTTCTGTAGCGTTGGCAATTTTCGACAAATTTTTCCAGTAGCGCGGAATAAAAGCGGAGAACACGCGTGTTTCTGGGAACAGTTTTAAATTTAATCTACGGAAAAGGTATGGCTTACGGACATTAAAGAGGAGAATTTTCGCGATTCCCTGGACAGAATCGAGCACTTAACCGTGTACACGCGAATCTGTCGCGTGGAAAAATATCACCGACAGGCGTTACACTCGGCAGGATAGGAATTCCTACGGGACATCGCGTTTCCCCCTAGTCAAAAATTCAAAATACAGATCCGACTCGTACCTCTGCGATCGAACCGGCTACACGCGAGTAAATGGGCGGCATCGTTCCTGTCGACAAAATGGAGGGTATCGAGGATCACGTGTTCCGCGTTGGAATCGAACCTCGGGTTCGCCTATTCGTAACACGAGCGAACGGAAAGAATTCGATGCCTTCTAATGCCAAGCAATGAGTACCATTGCTAAGTCTCTACTTCTCTCGATCGCTTCATCTATTACGAATCGCGATGAAACTTTCATTCGCCGGGCGTCGACAACGCTCTTTTATTGAACACGCTTCAACGATCAATCGAGAAATTTCGCTAGACGTCGGTTCCTTTCTAATCCAATTAGCTCTTCCTCTTATTTCGTTCCCTTTCGAATTCGTACATAGCGTGATTCCTTCGTCTACTTTTCTGTGCGATTTAACCCCCTCTGAGAGGGTGAAATCGAAATGACTCACACTCTCTTTACGGAGAAACATTTTGGTGCATGCAAAGTTTTAATTCTCTTCAAAGGATGTCTCAAAGAAACTCGGTACGTAAAAGTAATTTAGAGAAGCATGTATGTTCGTACGACATATTTATCTAACCGTTAAGGAGTATCTTAAGGGGTTCTTTTCATTTGACATGTCTACATTCTTTAAAAATTTGGTGAGTCAACTAAAATCTAATATGTCACACATTTAACTACATGAACACATACATATATACATACAAATACATATATGTATATGTATACGTAAAAAAGCATAAAGTGTATATCAACCTTAAAAAACCTCAAGGACCATCTTAAAAAAAATAAAATAGAAGAATCAAGGAATCAAATTTCAATTGTTCAAGATTTATTACGAAAGCTATTAAATATTTTGATGTATTACTTTTTGCGTTTTCGTTATGTTATAAAATATTTAACCCACCATAAATTGAAGACGTAATAATAAAAAGTGATACACGTAATGTACGCGTATTCAAATTTGTTGTGAGCATCGCGTGAGAACAGAGATTAGTCCATTTGCAATAAATCACCATTAAAATGCTTTAGCCGTGATTCGTATCTGGGTGATACATGAATGACTAAACGATCTCCGCACCTCGTCACGAGTAACACTTTTTTCCTGATTATAAATGGACATATTTAATAGAAATATTAAACAGATGTATCAAATATTACGGAAACAATAGTCCAAAATTAATGGAACACATGTATCGTGACATCAATTGTACCAAGCTAATAGGAAGATTAATGAAAATCTGAATAAATGAAAACGGGAACGGAGGTGTATTTACTCAATTGTTTCGCAGTTGCTCCAAAATGGAATTGAATTGCGTTACTTTTAAAATGTGTGTGCAATGTGTTAATTGAAATCTTCGAAAGTTCAAATTCGAATTGAGGGTGTTCGAATGATTCATTAGGAGACATCTTCCGTTGAACACGAAACATCCAACGAGATACCTCAATCAAGAGACCCTACAGCCCCAAACAGCTTACTTATCGTTCGGTAGAACGAGCAGACAGCGGTCTCTGCTCTTTTATTGCTGCTCGGTTGAGTGGCCAGCAAGAAATGAAATTAGCCCCGTTTGATCTGTAACCGTGGAATCTTTCGTCGGTTCGAGCATACAGGAGCGTATCTTCCATTACAGAAGCTTTGGGTGCAGCAAGTGGCCGCGGGGGTTCCGTCTGCAAACTCCTGCCAGACGTAGATCTCGTCACGAGGGGGTTGAAAAGCCCCGAGGGTGAAGTGAAAGCGAACCTCTTTCTCTCTCTATCTTCCTCGCTTAGTTGCTTCACGTGTTATGTAAATACATATGTGTTCTCGGAACGAAGGGATGCACCCGTGCCTCCTTAACGAATATTACCAAAGTTCCGAGGGCGAATGTTGCCGGAGGAGCAGCACACTGTGTGCCGGTTCTACGGTCAGGATTCATGATCCACGTGATTCGCTGTGTGAGCATGCACTTGACACAGGGAACTGCTCATTCGTGACTACGTCGCTGGTATTCGTCTTCAGAACTGATTCTGAGTGGATAAATTGCGGGGACGGAGGTTTCAACTGCGTTTGGGAATGCGATGCTTTTTTAATATCGCTCTCGGCTAACTTGCAACGATACATGCATGGGGGGATGTGCATTTGTAGGGAGGTGTTCATGTAATTTTTATTTCGATAGTTTTGTTATAAAAATTCTTAATAATTCTAAATAATAAATTTAGTATAAATACAAATATTATTCAGAAGAAATTGCCAATAATTGACAATAAATTTCTATTATTTTTACTCACTGTTTCATGAAATTCATCTCGATCCCCCAAGACAGTTATAATATGTACCTGCAACAGAAAAAGTTGAACTATTAACATACAGTTCTTTACTAATTAAATATTACTTCAAATTTGTATGTCCTTTCATTACATTTAAGCAACGATTCAAAATATTCACATTATGCTTATATTTTAATGACGTTAATGATTAATAAATTTTAATGCCTCAAGTCTCACAAATGAGTTCTTGTTGAATGTTCAGTGTACCTAATAGACGTGTAAGTGTAATTAAGTGTAGATTTCGAAAATGTTTCTAACGAACATTGTAGTTATTTGATCGAGCATAGAAACGTATTCGCGTCAGACTTTTTTAATCTCGAAAATAGAGATTCTCCATCGTCTGGCAAACGTTGATTCCATAGGGCCATATTGTTACACGCTGCACAGGCTGCTTCGTGAATAGTGCCAGAATCAGTGTATAGCCGGTGACAGAATAAAGCGACAAGATATATATGCCGATGCGCAAGTGCGCATTGTACACAATGCAGTACTTGAATCTTTGAGTGCATTCGTGCACAAGCGTATCGTCACAACAGCTCCTGGCATCAAAAGCGATGCTTGATCTTTTGATTTCACCGACTGTGAAGTGGATGCAGCTGATTATGTTACATAAAACATAGCGCTACGTGTACATACTCTAGCCATTATACTAATTATAAGTTAAAACTAATACGCTACTTCAAACACTACTCTGTTGCATTTAGAAGCGAGTTCGAAACGAGTTGTTAACGAGCGCAATTTGATGGCGTAAAAGGAGAGCAAAATTCTAGACATACAAATTCTACGGATTAAAACAGAGCAAAATTTGATGACATTAGAGGAGAGTAAAATGTGAAGACACAAAAGGAGAGCACGATTTGAAAACATTGAAGTAAATCAAACTTGTATGACATAGAAGCAGAGCAAAATTTGAAGACATTAAAAGAGGACAAAATTTGAAGACATTAAAGTAGAGTATAATTTGAAAATGTTAAAAGAGAGCAAAGTTTGAAGACATCAAATGAGAACAAAATTTGAAGACATTAAAAGAAGACAAAATTTGAAGACATTAAAGTAGACCAAAATTGCATGACATAGAAGTAGACCAAAATTGCATGGCATAGAAATAGACCAAATTTGCACGACATAGAAGTAAACCAAAATTGTATGGCATGGAAGCAGAGCAAAATTTGTGAACATTAAAGCAGAGCAAAATTTGCCACCATTAAAGGAGAACAACATTTGATGACATCAGAAGCGATGTTTTATATCATCGAATATCTGTATGTATTTTATATACTATATATATCATACCTCTTCTATATAATGTAAAATCTACATACTAAAAATAGTAACAAACGCAGAAAACTTTTTATAAAACCTGAAGTTTAAAAAGACTCACCACAAGTGTCGCACGAAACTAAATGCTTTAATATCGTCAAATCATGTCAGACTTTCGAAGTTTCCATCAGATACGCAAAAGCGTAATAATTCTTCTTAAGTGAGTGAAAATTAAATTTTTAGGTTATTTTTTAACAGAAAACTCTGGATCTAAACTGTACGTTCCAACCCCTGAAGTCTCCGATCTCGCCATAACGCGTTACTCCCGGAAAAAAGTAACCCTGATTTACGCGAGACTCGCACGCACGTTTCGCTGTTATCTTGGGTACGCACAGACCCCAGTCACGCGCCTTACAAACCGTGCGTTATCACCACTATCGTAGCCGGTCACGTGGCGATTCGGAGCCATTGTCATGGTTTACGTGCCCCGAGACGATTGCTCGAGCTACATTCTGAGAGATTCCGTCAGGTCTCGATCGCACCCTCGGCGATTTTAATGGACTCCGTGTAATTGCACGCGTTTAAAATACCCTACTGAATTTTCCGATGAAAAGCTATTTGAGAAATATATGTGGATATTGCCAATGGTCCATGGATCTCGGTCTAATTATGAATTTGATCATTTGTGGATCATTTGTGGAGCTGGATTTAGCAAAAGGTACCTTTGGGACTTTGAGAACCTTTTTGAAAAAGTCAACAGTACTGTAGTGACCTACACTCATCTTAAGAATCTTGAAGTAATAAGAACTCGTGCTGAAATCCACGATATTTATAGCAAGTAAACTTATCGAGAATCTTGTGCTTAATCGTAAATTAGAAATCTCCCTGATCCAAGCTGTATAATCGCATCTAAAACACCAGCCACGTCACAGACCTAATTGCATCGCGTTTCTTACGATCGCGTGAAAGTAGTACGGCAAACACTGGAATACGGGAATCATATTAAGCAAGCACTTTCACGCGAATCATTTAGAGTATTACTTGATTTTGCGAAAAGTTAACCAACGAGAACCACGCAATGATCCGTGCGAATCCACGATAGTTGCCTTCTGAAAACTTCTAATCTATGCCGGTCGATTAACAAGCAATTATAGATTTATCGTTCCCGGAGGAAGAGAAAGCGATCAGTGTGGATGCTGATAACACGAACGCGGTTAATTACGAGCTCTCTCTTTCGTTTCCTCTGTTCTCCCGGCCTCTGTAGCATCGAATGCACACGTTTTACCATATTCGCTGACGAAAACTTCGTTAACACTCCTCCCCATCGATGCGGCTGTTATTCAATTTGTATTCAACGACGTGGTCGCTAATGCATCAAGAAAGGAGTGCATGTTCGCGCTATAATGGAGAATGCAGGAATATCGTTACAGACGAAGGGTTAATTTTCTGCAACCCGGACAGAAAGATGAGCGCCTCTATATGGGAAATCTGAAATTCATTGGTTACGAAACGCGGATTGAATATCTGGGATAAATGGATTTAATGGGATTTCGCGAAGATATCTAATTTTATTGTACAATTTTATTAAACATGCATATTTGACTCAATACAATAAGTATATTGAAAAATGCACAGTTCCAAAATCTCGTCCCAACAAAAACGCTAAGTCTAAGACACAGGAGCAAAAAGATTCACAACTTTACATTGTGCAATAAATCTTGTCGTGAAGCAACCCGTTCTAATTGTGGCGTTCGCGCATAGACCTTAATTCAAGCAGCACGACTGTTGTTTTGTCGCAACGAGTCGTGGCCCTAAACCTCCGTGTTCCAGCGTATTTACGATAATTCACCGCGTTCATGAATATTTCATCGGCGAATAGAAAATCGTAAATCGTTACGAGCTATCCTTTTTCTATGGAAATTCCCGGCGGAATGGAAGTCGACGAAAACGGTTTCGAGCCACGGGAATCTTGCGAGGATGCACCCGGCTTCGCGTCCCCCATGAATTATAAACACCGAAACAAGCAAGTTGTTTAAAAGGATTCGAATTCCGATACTCGGTCGAAACTTTCGATTCGCGCGTTCTGGTAAACCATTTCCGGACGAAACCTCGAAATTGAATGCACGGACCATGGTGAGAGTCCGGACGAAAATCGGCTATCGTGCTCCTCGCGGAAGAACCTTTATTCTTCGTTCTGCACGCGAGCCTCGCGTGTTTCAC